TGTGTTGTAGGTTTCAAATTTTCCCTTTCAAATTATTCCTCAATGACAAAGTACAATATCTACATAAAAGTTTCCCTTATAACTACATTTGTAATGATATATCTGTCATGCCTGATTACTTTGTGTATCATTTGTTATCTAAACAAGAAACGTTTACAAAATCAATATGAAGTGTTAACAAACAGACATTATATATACACACAACTGATTGTCATATATGGAAATTACAGCAACTTTTATGCTAAATTACTATGTTTTTTTCCTCACTTAATTCAGCAATTCCAACATGCAGTTTGTTCAGCTGTCTCTGCACAGCGAGAGTAAAAGGACAGGGGCATTTAAAGAATGTAAAATTGTTGCATAGGCGGGTTCTCATCAGACAGCTTGAAGAGCATTCTGCATTGATGTTAAGAGAAGTTGCTGTCAGAAAAAGTTGCTCACTAAATCTTTGGATTGCCTCATACTCAGCTGTGCTTTCCTGGAATGAACTTTCTAGGCAAGTGTCCGGTGAAACAGCATTGCTTATGGGAAACAAATTAACGTCTACTGTGGGGAGTAGGTAATTAAAGATTTCTTTGTGGTTTTGTAGAATGGTGACGCCCCAGCACCACAATAAAGAGGAATTCTTATACAGATTTTGTGTGAGCAAATGTCCAATCCTATTTCTGCAATTAGCAATAGAAATAGAAAACAAATCACATTAATAAAAGTTTACTGTACACAAATAAATATACTGAGGATATCAGTTGTAATATGGGTTACATATTTACTTATTCAAACAGTTACATTGTTGGAAAGTTATGATTATTATGAAACTAAGATGTACATTTAATTTTACAAATATTGTACTCGCAATACATAAGTCCTGCTTTAGAATGCTTTACTTTCTATGTTGTTGGGTGGAAAATACAAATGGTATATAAGATCAACAAAAAGGACTTTTTTATATTTCAGCTTTGAAATATGGTCATAGACCAAAACGATTCTAAACTGATCCAAGACTAAAAATATTTGGGAATGCTGACTTCTGTTCTGCTTGCACACTACTTAGGCAGAAAAAAAAAACAAATTTCGACCCCAAGTACACTACAAGGTTGAATGTTACCAGCCAGGCGTCAATAAAGTCAGGGTCACTAGGCAGATGGGCAAGATGGAGTGTATTGTGTGATGAACATTATTTGATGTCTTTAGGGTGCACACTGCAAATTTCCAACAATGAAGAATACCATAACTGAAGTATAATGACAAAACCTGAAGTGGTGACTTATTTAGGTAATAATTTATTTATTAAGGTAGTATTTATTTGAGTTATGTTATGCTCATCTTGTATTAAAACCACTTTCATACAAATGCAGCTCTTTCTGACACGGTTTCACATGTTAAAATATAATATGGCCTTCTCATCAATAACTGTTTTTTCAGAATCTCTGGAGACATTTGATTTCTTCTGAAGTTTTAATCAGACACCCTGTGCCTTTTACCAATTAGCAGCTGTTAAGTTCCTGTCTCTGTTTCTGATTAGTTACAGTACATGTGGTGTATATTAAAGTCATCAGTAAAATTGTAAAATCAATTATTTGCCCGCTTTGACAGCTTTCCAAGGCTGCTCAATGGAGTAGTACTCAGTGAAGTAGTGTTTCGTGCTGGTACCTCACAGCTATAGGGTCCAGGGCTCAGTTCTGGAGTAGACCACTTTCTGTGTGGAGTTTGTATGTTTTCCATACGCATTTATTTGGGTATTCTCTGGGTACTGTGGCATCCTCCCATCCTCCATTGATGTCTATAAATTGTCCCTATGTGCTTCTGGAGAAATTACTCTATTTACATTGCATTCGAAATAATAGGTTACAGGTTTTCAAAAGGAATGTGGAATGTATTTCTTTACATGTGCACAACAATGCATTACTTCAGATTACTTTTTGCATTATGTCCTGTACTGCGTTTGTGTAATGTTAAAAAATCCTTATAAGCAGTTGATAGATGGAGTTTGTTTGTTCCCTATTGTCTGTATAGATGTCGTTTTTGAAAAGGAAATATCTTGTTACATATGAATTATTTCAGGTGGGCAGCTGCGTCAGAATGCGTAGGCTGCAAAGGAACATGTAATAGGTTTATTCCATGCTGAAAAGAGAAGAAAGAAAACACCACATTTCGGCTGTGGAGCCCTTTTCGGGTGTAGATAGCATTCTTCTTGTTACATATAGCATTTACTTAACAGTGACATCTTCTGCATGTGTATTTTGGCTTATGTTGTATACAAACTACTGTACTTAAAGCAGTATTTAACATCTTATTAAACTTATTTAGCTTTCAGAACTGTCTTGTTGCTCATCCCTCTAAAATTTTGCTATTCTAGATACTGGCTGCGGCTACTTCTTACCAGCAGAAACCTGATATGTGGGGGGAAACAAAACTTGAATAAAAGACATTTCCATTGTTTTGCCTTATATTTTTAATGAGAATTTAATGGTTTCAGGTGGTGGTAACCTTGTATTTACTTTAGCACGGTACTTGGATGGCACGCTGGCTGAGAAAGAGAAACTTTCTAAAGCCTTGCGAGTCACCTCAAGACCACAAAGCATTGTTAGCCAGACTCCGAGGTCTTTGCAGACTGGTTTCTCTACCATGGGGGTTGGGTGGGAGGTGTTGGTGGGTGTGCACTGCAGCTGGGGGTGGGGGTTCCTTTGTCAATTGAGAAAATGTAATTTGTGTGCAGCTCCCCATTTTAACATTTCACACTCTTACACTCACCTCGAAATCCAAGTAGTGATCAGATTTTGAGGAATCCTGTTTGTTATCAATTGATTTAATATGTTTCCCATATTTAACTATTTGTATGTGCACCACAGCAGACAGCAGCCTGTACACAGTTTTGTACACATGTAGGAAAATAGATATGCGAGCACGTGTCAACTAGATTGGTGCTAGGGGGAGTTTTGGTCTATTGTAACCTAATGTCTGTGGGTTCCAAATGTACATAGTGGGTTGAAACTAGGAACCGTGGCTGAATGTGTGGGAAAAATTATGATGAGGCAGCACTGAAATATTTAATTAAAGAAAAAAAAGACTGAATGCATGTCCTAAAAATAGAACTTTATCAATGGCACTGTTATGATCACACAGCATTGAAAAAGCTCAGCGTAGTTCTGAACTTTCCTAGTGGGACTGAACTCTTAGCCATTTGAGTGGAATTAACTTGTTATTTTTCTCTTCCAGGTCTGGGAAATAATGCCCCAATGAGTCAGTCCCCCCTCTCTCTCTCGTAAAGACTCCTGTGTTGCTAAGTCATGTTTTGCCATCTGGTGGTTCATATCAGAGTTCCTGTCTTGACCATCTTTATTCCGTAGCAACGTGTTAAAAAGTGAAGAAATATTAGCTAGACAGGCTGAAAAAAAATGTTTTTTTTTCTACTTCAGAGAGTCTTCTTACTGTTTCATAAAACACTACATAACACTGTAAAACAAAACCTGGGTACAGACCTAGATGCACATGAACAAATGATTTACTTCTGGCCAGAAGTATTTCTCTTCCATTGTCATTCACCATTGTTGAAACTGTCCGTTTTGCTTGTTTGTTTGGATTGGAAGTATTAGGTGGTTTCTGTTTCAGGGGGTTCATCAACAACTGCTTAAGCCCTCTCTGTCTGCAGGGGTAGATACCGGGTGAACAGGTGTGAAATCTGCTATAAGGGAATGCAAATGGTGACCCTTAACTGCTCTTGTCCTTGGATTCCCTGTGCTGATCAATCAGCTGCAGTTTTGCTAGAAAAGAAGCGACTTGTTTAGAACGTGTATTAAACCAGGATATAGCCGTGAAGCACTTGTAACGCGTGTTTTAGGAAGATTTCCAATTACTTATCCCTAGTTTCTGTAGAGGTGCGAGAGATTTCAAGACAATAAAAAGCCGTGACGTCTGATGCGCCCCGTTCATTTAATTAGTTTCGTTTATTAGAAGTGTGAATGTCTGAAAGACGTTTGGCTTCTTTCAGGTTAACGGTTCCTTTCTTATTGAAAAGTGGTGGGTGTGCCTCCATTTTATTTATACGGCTGTAAATTAAAAAAAAAACGAGATGCATGCCCACTTCGCCACCAAAATAAGCTTTGCAAGAAACAACACGAAAACAACAACTTACCCTTGAGCAAATAACACAATCCATACAAAGATAACCATTTTCTTTCCTGAGCCGGATGCTTACTGCAAACAAAAACTGGAAGCGTATTTCTTTTCCGTCTGGATGAGCCCATCACAGGATCTTGGTGATTATTAGCTGTGTCTAAATGACTTATATGACCTGATTTCAAATTTCAAAGCCTGTGAACCAATTGCTAAACCTATTTTCTTCTGCTCCCCTTTTTGAATTTCAGCAATTGCTTCAGAAAGCAGGAATGCTAGAGAGAGGTCAGAAGATTTATCACGCTAAGGTGTGAGTAGTGTTGCCTGTGCACTGCTGGTGCTACACATGTAACAGTTTAGCGCCAACAGCAGCCCGCCGCAGAAGCAACGCTGTTTTATTAGTTTGAGTCAAATGGCTCTGTCACATACTCGTATATCCTACTATTTTTTTTATTTTTTAATGGGTTGATGTGTGTGTTTGTAAGAGTGTTCTGCAAACTGACATTTTTTAAAGAAACAAATAAAGGCTAATTCTGTCCTGAAAGGCAGAAAAAAGAAACACAACTTCAGCCTTCTGCAGGTTGCTTTTCTTTAAAACGAAAAGTGAAGTTGCGGTTCAGTTTGTGTGTGTGTCTGCCAGCAAGGGTCCCCTGGTTGCTGTGGGATAACAGGGAGTTGTGAGAAGTAGCATTACTGGTCAACGGGCACAACTCACTCCCTCTCAACTCTCTCCCCCGGCACCTCCTCCCTTTCTTCTTTTTATAGCAATTATTTCTCTCTCTCTCAATCTCAGGTTACCGTGCCCAGGGTTTTCAGACCTATAGTATTTTTTCCCCTCTGTCCTTGTCCCTGCCTCCTGCTTTTTAAGTGCCACCCAGCAGCCGCGGTGATTGGATTGGGTAGTTTGTCTTGACACACCACTGTGCTGAGTGCTTGAGGACGTGTTTCAACAGATGGTTGGGGTTAGTGTGTGTCATCACATTCGAGAAAGGATTAGGCAAGAAAAGGTTGTCTTCCAGGAGCTGTGTGGTCCTCAAGGGTGAACCTTTCTGAGAGCCGAAAAAAATCCTGTGTTGAATCAGAGGACCAATACTCATTTTCAGGTATTGTGAAAAAATATATATTTATTTTTCTCATTTCATGCTGCAGACATCTAAGACACAGGATATAAAAGCTTATAGGCATTGCAGGTACTCTTGAATTGAAAGATATGAATTAAAGCTTGTCTCTCTTAATCAGCCTTGATCCAAAACACAACTTAAGAAAAGCTGTGATGTTGTAGTGTTTTGTAAGACTTATAGATCTTTGTGTTTGCTCAATGCACTTCTATGAAGTTGCTGAAATCTTGTTTTTTTTTCACTTGTTTAAAACTCCAGTGGTAAGGGAAGATTAGTGTCTACGGATTTAAAAACTGTGAAACAGTCCACCTCGTGCAGTTGTGTTTGAAATATATTTCTGTTTTCAGATGGATTAAGAGACACATATCTGTAGATAACATTTAAATGAACAGAGTCTTAAAGTTAGTTCCTAGAAGTAAAAGTAGATAAAAATTGATTATATATTTCATGTGCCTAAAACCATTGGTACTCTGACAGTATTAATTGGTTGGCACTTTGCAAAAAAGGATGTAACCTTTGAATGCCTTTATGTTTATATCCAGTTTTACAAACAAAATTGCAAATGCATTGTTCTTGTTTCTTGTTGCCTGTGTTTGTTTGCACATTTTGCAGATATGCAAAGATTAGGATGATATCTTACATCAAAAGATTATTAAAATGAGCAGAATGTGTCAAATGATCATAACAGTACGATTTTAGATATGCCGATGACAATGAATATATTCATATTATATGTACATTTCTATATATCTGTAGGAAAGCATTTAAGTCTCAGAGATTGCAGATACCCTGAGGAGACCTAAAATGCTTCAATTCAACTATTTAACTTCACGTAAGTCTTGCCAGTAGAGTAGGAATATGATATATATTATTTAGATTATTTTGCCTGAGGCAATGTATGCTCTGTTAAGTGTTTGGAAAATGTGTTTTATAGCTGTTGGGGCAGAGAAAATAAGACTTTGCCAAAAATAAACAGGCAAACGTTTTTCAAGCCTATATTTTAAAGTTAAATTTGAATATACACATGCACTATATAGAAAGCTACATATGTGAACGTAATGCCCTGCAAATAAACTCAAGCTTTTATTTTTATTTTTAGAATATGCAGTATTCTAAAACACAGGCATATTTTAAACTTTCCATTTTTTATTCAAACTTTATATATATATTAAATGTTTACTATAGATTTCTTTGTGAGCATTTTAGATATTTATGATAAAAATAAGGTAAAAAAAGTAAATTTTGATAAATTAATTAGGTTATTTTCAGCTTCTGTTTTGCATTTAAATTTAAGACGACTTTGGAAAATCACATACAATATTTACTCTGCTGCACAGAGCAAATCTCTACGCTTTGGTAGAAAATACAAGAAAGTAGGAAAACATTTGCTGGATTGTAACAGCTATTATAAGGGCAACTCTGGAGGTAATTTTATTAATATCACAATTAATGACATAAAGGCACATAGTGTGATATCAAGCACCAGAGTCAAAGATTTTATTTTTAAAGGTCAATCTCATTTCCCTCTCAGATTTCACTTTCAAGACCTTCTGAAGTAGAATTTATTGTGAGAATTGTTTTCCTCACTTAAGCAACTTTTTAGTTCAAAGACCAGGAAACAATTTTATGTAACTTTGCTGGCAGATTAAAAAGATTTAGCTTTGGTTTCTGTGTAATGTCTCTGTGTCTGGTTTCTCAACAGCATCTCTTATGACCTAGATTTTTTAACAGCAAGCTTGTGTTGTGGTCTTATAAGAAGCCTGGATGAATTGGTTGTAACAGACACAATTAGTGTAAAATATAAGAGTGGGTTTCAGATGGCATCCCTTTGACATGTGCATATTAGCGCATATTGCATTGAAGAATTTGAAAGGGAAAATATGGCAACTAATGTCAAGTGCATTTAAGAACAGGACATAAATACACTTGTATTGCTGTACGTAAACAATAGCAGCAGTTGTAAAAAAAAGTTTTGGAAATCTGTGGGTAGGTCTGCCAACATAAATATTATTACAGTAGCTGTTTTGTATTCATTAGTTCTATGCTTCAGACTTGTTGCACTGGAAGATTTTTTACCAACTCTGTATCTCTTAATAATAAAGAGGAAGAACAATTCATTCAGGTGGAACACAGTGTTTGTTGGGTTGTCATGGATTGATCTGTGAAGTGAGGCTGACCACTGACATGCGGGTCTGAGACTTTCCGGAGGGTGTTGAGTGTGGTGACGAATAAACCATTCCTTAAAAACACAGCTCATGCAGTATGTTTCATGAGTCTCCTGCTCGTGCACTGTCAAATTAGCCCCAGTGCTTCAACCATTCTTGGTGTTTTTCAAAGTTTCCTAATCAACACTATGCTTCAGTATAGTCTCCACAACTCCTTACATAATATTCATATTATTTTTACTTTGGGTTGGTGACATTTCAGTTTGTTTTCTATTTAGTTAATATAGCCCTGTTTAGTCCCTCTATACCCAATGCCTGCCTTAATTTGCACAACTATCATTGTTTCTCTATCTTTTGATTGTGGTCTGTGCTTCATTATGAGAAACATTGACTTGGCTTGTTATTGCAATTAATTAAGACTAAAAAAATGTTGTATTTTACTCCCCTTGGAGTCATGGGGGCTCCATCACTGTCCTATCCAGGCTCCTCACTCAAAAGCCACAACAGCTAATTCTCACACAGGTCTCTTGTCTCACTTAGTTCTGAGAACTGTACTGTCTCCAGCATTCCGATTGGGAAGGGTATGTACACACATTTCAAGGGGTGACAGGTTAATGGGAATAAGTGAGGAAAGATCTCGGTAAAACACCCTGTTATAACTTTTTTTGAAAGGTTGATGCTTTATAAATGGTTTATGTTTAGTTTGCCTTGCTCAGTGGGGTTGCAGGTAGTGTACAGGTGTTCTCATATTTGTGACCCCCTTGTCACTGCATGCGTTTACATTATATCGATTAAATGTGGGCTTTGATTATTACATGCAGAGTGAGGGATTATAGAAATGTTTTCTTCCTGCCATGCACTTACGAGTTCAATTCATGATCAGTCTCCTCGTTGAGGATTTGCAGAGGTTTGGGATAGAAAAAAAGCTTGAGACACAATATCCTTGCTTTTAACCATTCTAGTGGAGCACCTTTACAAATTCAAGTATTGCTCCATGCTTTCAGCCACTAATGGAGTAGGTGAAGATATTGACTAGGTGCATTGCTTTTCCAGTGTTTGCTTATCGTAGTGTGTTTAATTTTACTAACCTCCAAACCCTAAGTGCCATCCTGCTACACAGGGCTCTTCTGTTTGATAAGTAATCTAATTAACACTTCCTGATTCCTCTGCTTCATGTAGTGCAATAACAGAGAGTATGGTTGTGTGTGAGAAAGCCAGCAGTACTGGTCCCACAAGGGGTCTTTAGGGAGTTTTCCCTTTCAAGTGGAGCTATATAAACAGTAGGCACACAGATTGCAGCCGCCAAAACATTTCCACATGTTGCTATACAATGTGTTATGACCAATTTTCATTTAATATCATTGAAAGGCAGTTTGAGAACGTCCAGTGGTAAAGTTGAAAATAAAATTTACAGTGCCTCATTCTCAAAATTACATAATGAAAGTTAACGTTTTTATGTCCAAACATTCAGAAATACACACAAGAAGGATCCATATTAATGCTATTGGTCATCAAGAACTTCTATGTGCCAAAGGAGTGTCAGTATGCCTGATGCTGGATAGTACAATTTGCTTCGTACGTGAGCGTAAGAGAAGATCATAACTAATTTTCAAAATCACCAACCTACTAGTTGATGAACTCTATATTTTCCATTTTCCTAAGCGTTTTTTCCGTTATATATGACATCTTGAATCCTCTTGTAATATAATGATGATTTTATGCCCTGGGACTGATGGTTAACTCGTAGTTCTTTCAACCAAATTTGAGAGTCATTATTTTTTTTAGGGAACCTCATTATGGCGCCCTCTTGTGTCCTCTTTGTCACACACAATTGTTGCAATATCGTACAAGCTCTGCAAAGTCGTAAGATAGGAAAATGTCCAGGTTATATCAAAAACAGTAATGGGAGTGAGCCATAATTTTATAGTAGGTCATGCACACAATTGCATAGTTCTTTTTTCATAAATAATCTCACTTCCAAAAAAAGTGTTAATTTGTTTCCCATGAAGATATAAAGAATGAATAATTTTGGATTTACATTTTTCTAATATTTTCATGACATGACTTTAACTTTTATTTCAGGCTGAATGATAAGAGAATGGCCTTTTAAGGGTGGGACTAAACCTCATGTGAATCTCGAAAACAAAAGAGCTTTCCATATATTAATGTATAGACGGATGTGCCATTTTTCTGCTTGACGCACGTAGAAGAACTTGAGTTCCGCTCTTGATGGAGTGAAAGAGAATGTATCTTCCCAGTCAGCACTGCTGCCTCGGTTCCTTCCCATTGTGTCAAGTGGCCAAACTGTGCTTGTGTGAATGGGGGGGTCAGAGAACTGCCAGACGTCACGTCTGTACTCCCAGCACCTCTCTGTTCTCTTGCCCCGGCAGCTCTCTCATGTATTAATCTGCTCCCCGGAGAGAAGCAATCTGTTTTGTTTTTTTTATTTGAAAATGAATGGCCTGCCACTATCATCCACAATTAGACTCCAGGCAAATAGCATCGGAACGAAACTTGGTCCGAAAAACCGGCCCGCTGGAGGCGAAGGCTTTCATCGGACTAAGGCCAAACTTTGGAGAGCCTCAAGTGGTGAACGTATAAGTCACTGGCCAAAGCGTGATAAAAAGACAACTTGTGATTCCCCGCCTCACTTCTTCTGTGCTGCGAGAAAAAAATTGAATAAAAAACATTTTCCTGTTAGTCCTGTGTGTGGAAGGTCTTTAGCATGTGCTATGTATGTTTAAATTGCTCCTCACTTTACTGTGCTTTTTTGGCATGAGGGGAAACTTCTTTTGCTTACCTCAGCTGTGGTTTACACATTAGAAGGCAGTCCATGAAATTCTAGTTGCAATACTTCGGCCTTGCCAAGCTCCAAGCTGAAGATTGTTGGAGATCTGTCATTTCCAACTTGCATGATGTGTTATTTCTCAATTAGGCTGCCATGGCACAATCACTGTGTAAACATAAAAAATAAATCATGCAGCTGATTCTGCGCTACCATCACTTCTCGAAAGGCCATTTCCAAGGCACGATTACAGAGTAGGTTAAATCAAGGTCCTTCTACTTCGACAGTTACACAGTGAATTTATGAATGGTTGGTTTGTTAGGCTTGGGAAACTACACCATGATAGATTAAAAGAACAGGCAGCTTGTCATTTTATAATTATTCATCAATTATGTGGGTCATTGCTCACGTTAATTCTTTTTTTAAGCTTAGTTTTTTTAGAAATGTTTTTTTTCCCCAGTAAAAGCAAGGTTGTGATTTATAGCTTGTCTAAAACCATTTCTGACGGATCTAGTTGGGTATCAGACCAGCTCTGCTGCATGTCCTGCAGCTCTGGGCAGCATGGTTGGGTTCATGTTCACCAGAGGTCAGGTATTTGCTCACTTTGGCAGTGCAAGTGAAGACATGTTGCAGTGTTTTTGAGGGAAGCATTGTGAATGTGCTCTTTATGGTCTTTATAAATTACAGTTTTACACTGCTGTCTGTACTAAGAGAAATTTTGATTCACTTAATATTCAAAATGTGAGCTTGGTTTATTTATTAATATTCAGGCAGAGTGGAGATTGAGGAGTTTCTTAGCTGGTGGTAAAGGTTTTTTCAACGCATTCCGAATTTTGCATTTTATCTAAAAAAAAACCTCTCACAAATGATCTCGGGTAATTCCGTGTTTTCCATGGTCATTGCATTTTGCAGATAGAATACCAAAATTGCAATAGTTTCAATATATTAGAAATACATCATTTTGCCAGAGCCTCCCTGGAAAAATTCACAGCCTGTGGGTGTGACAGATGGGACCAGCTAGAATAATGAGGGGGGTGACCAGGGACATGAGAACCAGCACAAATGTCTAAGTGAAACTGTAGAGGTCTCAGCCACAGCAAAGCTTTATCACGATACAGCAGGTTGTTCACAGCTTTTCTCTGGATCAGTGTTCTAAGTATACGCCAGCACATGCGCTGCATTCTGCAGGCACGTTGTTTCAAACTGTGCCAAATATTTGCTTGAGAACTGCTGGTGACGGCGCTTTTAGCTTCTGAGTCCCCTGTCTGGAATTTGTTTCAAACTGCTTCAGGGACACTGCAGACTCTTAGTCGTAGACCTCTGAAGCATTGTGTTTGTCAGTTCTCATCAGATTATGAAGCATTTAACTCTAAGTGTATAGCTATTATAAAAGCATGCAGCTAACATTCCTCTGCTAATGATTTTTATTGACTTGCTTAAATATGCTAAACCACTTGTTGCATTTGTAATCGACAGAAATGGTGCAATTGTGCACATTTGTACCGCTTGATAAAAACATAATTGGCAAAAACATGACTGAAAATAAATATTTTGAGGGGATGTTGCCAAGTTGTACTTTTAGTAGATGGTAAAGATTAAATGTTTGCATGAAGCTTGAATGTTGTGTTGTCTTTGTATCCTCAAACTGTAATACAAATACAGTACTCCAGATGCTACTGTGGTTGTATTCCATGCTGAATACAGCTGTTATATACAGCTCAGGTCACGACTCAATTCAGCATTTCCTTGTCCTTTTTTTGTAGTATGCCTTGAGTATTACTGATTACATTCTGGATGGATGGGAAATAATGGTTTAAATATTTACATAAGTCTTCTGTTTACATTTCACTACTAGTAGAGAGTTTATATTTAGAAGAATTACATACAATGGTTAAGGTGACTTGTTTATAAATATAAAAAGTATCATCCACATCAAGACTAAACATATTAATTTCAAGGCTAGTGAGTGCTTTATACTCCTGGTAGGTATATTTCTGGATGCCCAATGATAATCTCAAAATCTAAGAAACTCTAAGCCTGGTTACTAAAGGTTTTAAAGAGAATTAGGTTGCTGATAGAAATAGTGATGACAGAATCCAAACTTGTGATTCCAATATGGTGAAAGATGTCTGTCACACCGTGCTGTCAGGGGAGCTGTGTTTACAATAGAATTGAAATAAGGTAATATATCCAAAAAGGACATTGAAAATACTGACACTTTTGGAATGTTGACCTCAAACTCACAGTTAAGTGCAATATACTTTAGTATAAACAGAATCTACACCTTTCGGTTTCCTTGTAGATACCCTGGTTAGGCTTATGTGTGTCTGAAAGTGCTGATGCTTTACCGTGAAAGGGGACCGTGAATGTTCTGAAGGATATGGCATGAGTATAAACTGCTTTTTTTACACTCGTACATCTGGCATCTTCTAGCAGTTCATCAAGAAAAAGGATATTTTCCATTTTCTGCAATGAATCTCTTGAAGTTCAGAAAATAATTTCATCTTAGTTTTAGATTTGGTTTTGGACTTAAGTGAGGGAACATGAATGGGATTGGATATTAAGCTTGCAAAATGTATATACTGTATGTATACATGGAACAAAAAGAATAACATTACTAATATATGTAAGCACTTTAAGAAACAGCACATGTTTTGAAAGGAATTGGAACACGGCCAACACAAATATCAGCAATATACCAAAAGAGTAGTGTGGCAAAAGTATAATTTTGTCTTTAGTATTAATCTAATCACAGAACCTTTGCATTTATGGTATAATGAAAAATGTACCTACTGGTTGGTAAAAATCTGAAATAAAATGAAATGAATCAAAGTACGTGACCTGAAATAACCCCCAGTGTTTAACCGTTTAATATACATGTAGCTTTCAACTATCAGTCATAACATCCTGTTTTTTCTGTTTAGTATTATCACCAGTATTTTTTATTTATTTGGCTTAATATTCCTAGACACTATTTCTGCATGGTGTACATTTAGATGGGATAGGGACTTTTAGTTGCATTTTATCAATCAGTTTGTTTTAACACATTACATTTAAAGATAGGCAGCAGATATTTAGATATAACTACCTTCAAGGAAAATCTGAAAACTGGATTATCCATACCTGTTTGTTTGGCAGTCAAGAGAAAATTGACCATTTTGTCTTCAGTTGAGCTGCTACTCTAGGATCCTGCAATGACACAAACCACACTGTTTAAAATGCCTACGAGAAGATGATGTATTTTAAAAACCTTTTGGTTATCTGATGTTTTCAATGGGTTTGTCAACTGAAGAGTAAAAAATTGGGTTTCTGCACACTTCCACCTTATCTAGGGTGAATACTAATACTAATTATCCACAATACTGGTTATCATCACTATGAACTGATAGTGTGCAAAAATCTGTTCAACGGTGGTACACTCTTAGTTTCCGTGTTTTCACTTTTTTAAGTTATCTGGAAAAAAATATTTATAATAAAATAAGAATATATGTTTTTAACACACTTCTTCCTTGAAATTTAAAATAAGAGCAATCAAGTTTATTTGGTGTGTTGTGGATATTGACAGATGTGGAAGGTCCTGTATATTTTTCTTTTTTTTTCTTCTAAAAAGGGCAAGATCCTGTGCATTTGTGAAAGTGAACAGCTGCCGAGCTTTTCCTCCTCCAAAACCATTTTGATAAGTTGAATAAAAATCTGGTAACCCAGCAAAAGCAACATGGAATTTCCCATTTAAGATCCATCTATTTGTCTGCAAGCACTTAACCTTTAGTTTAAAATAGATGCCACCGGTCACATTCCTTGGTTATTGCTGAAAGCATCTTTTTTAAGACACTGTACACATTAAATGCACTGCACACTCCATTCTATTATAGCTGGTTTCTTTCTCCTTGAATTTCTGCTGTGTGTGGGTCTCTCATTAAAGTTCTTGCCTTAGTAGTATGCTGCTTTCTTAGTAGCAGGAAGGAACTAGGCACTTACAAAGACTAGCTGCTTTTGAGAATCAGATAATAGTGCTAAATTCAGCAAGTCCTCCCTAATGACCAAGAATGTTTTTTAAAGTTCTGATTCTGCAGAACTGAATTACTGTTAAAAAGATTAGGTAATAGTGTGACACTTGATAATTACAAGTAGTACAATTAGTGGGTTGCACTATGGCTCTGATTAGAATTAATTGGACGAGCCACAAATGACTGCTCAGCATCCTTGCTTGATAATGTACTGTAGTAAGTGCAGAACCAGCAGCCAAGTGATTCTTGATCACAGCTGGATGGTAAGATGAACGTTATTCGTGCTTTGAGGATTAGGAGAACGCCTTGTGAAATATCTATTCAACCTTCTCTTGGGAAATTCATGCTGCTGGTTGATTTGTAAATACGCAATTTCTAGATTTCTGTATGGGCCTGCTACATGTTTCACAAACGCTTCAACTGAAGCCATTAGTTCATTGCTGTTGTTCAGTCGTGAAGCTTCACTCTGGGCAACAAGATAAACAATCTTGCAACTTTCTGTATATTCCAGTTTCCCGAGCATAACGCCTGGACCCAATTTCCATTTTCAAGAAACCTACAGTCATTTATAGCTGTGGGCTCTGCTGCGAAGCTGGTTGCTCCCGAATGCAGAGCACTGGGTATGTTGACTTTTCTAACTCTCTGCCACCTGGGACTTCCCTGATTATTGCTCAGCTCACAGCAGGCTTGTCTGGGAGCAGGACTCCAAAAGGTGCCTGAGCCTTTGCTTTAATTCCTGACCTTTCCTGTGTCAGGCATGCTCTCTCCTACTGCAGTGCCTCAGCAGGGAGCCATTGACAGCGTGCATGGAAGGTCCCTCTTGAAACCCTTCTTATATATTTTAATCATTTCCCTCTTAACATTCTCTCACTCCCTTCAGCTTTCCCATTGGACCTCCTGGTGGTATGAAGAAAATATCTTTGAAGTCTCGGGAGATTAATTTAATTGCATATTTACATGCATTCATAATTAATGACTGCGTTCTGCCAGGATGGAGACTACAAAGGCTCCTTTTCCATTTCAAGGGCTTTGGATTAATTCAATCATGGTGCAAATTGTTTACACAAAGCTATTACAGTTCTTCTGAAATTACAGAATGTATATCTTAAAATAGCTGGCTGTAATCAAATACTCACCTTTTTTCACCAACCCCAGGTTTTTGGGGGTAGTCATTACTAGCACTGCTTTGAGAAAAAAGTCACCTGTGATTTTCCATGTGATTCCGTTCTTTGTAATTACCATACTTTATGATATTTAAAATCTAGATGGCATAATAAAGCCTTTCATGAAAATGATTACATTTTTTAAAGAAACATCTGGTAGCATATTTTGGCATGTGGATGTTGTTCTATAATTGGTACCTGAATTAGATTCAGGCAAAAGGTGGTCGTGCTTTGCACTGAAGTAGTCTATTGTTGTAAAACAATTTGTTTAGAGGTATTATCTATTTAATTTACTAAATATTTGTTTAGCTTTGAATAGTTCAGAATTTTCATTTTAGTAACATTGCAAAGTTGCAAGGACTGGATCAAATGTGCTGGAGGTATTGAGGTTGTACAGTGTGCTGCAGGTAACACACTATCTAGACACTCCCTGCTAGTCCTGTGTATTTCCCTCTGGATTGATCAGTTTGCTAGCTCCACAAAGTACATTATATTCTCCTATTAATATTTTTACTATGGTGCAGCATCAGGGCTCTCATGACAAACACATCTGGACTGAGCTTTGCTCCCCTGAGTAATACAACTGAACTGAAGCACAGGGCAGGTTATGTCAGGTTGTGTGTATTATATTCAGAACATTCTCTTGCTGCTCCATCCTGGGTTTTTTACCAGGCTTTGCTTTATAGATCCCCCAGCTCCTGAATCTTTCTGTAAATTCGAACACAGTCCTCAAAACAGGGCTTGCTTATCACAGGAGAGACATGAACCAGGAGTTTAATATGTGCTTTCAAAATGTGGAAAGTGGATGATTAGGGTTGTTTTACTTTTTTAAATGTGTCATTTTAGCTTCTTCTATCTGCTAAACGTAAATAAAACAGCTCCCAGTTGATTCTCCATGTGGCCTGAGAGGCCTTGAACCTGCTTAGTGTGATTAATATCAGGCAAGTGGTATGGGTGGAATAGACTGAGGACCAAGAACAGCTTACTTCAGGGCTGGAAGTCAGGCATATGGTAAATGCTTACACACACAGGCTTTGGACAGAGCTAAGATTACTGTTATTATTATTTTCTTTCAGGACATCACTGTCCTTTTTGATGAAATACATAAACACTTAGCTTGTAACATTTCAGACTAAAGTGTTTATTTAGTGTTGATTGTGTATACCCATTGAGAGTCGACTCCCACTGTTCACGGCCACAGCTGTAACTAGGTTTTTTTTAAATATTTTCTCATGTTATGCTAATAATATATAGAGGGATACAGTGATCATCTTGTTCTTTTATAGTTTTACAACTAAATGAAAAGTCTGGCTATAAGTAAAAGGATATGTTATTAGTATTGATACAGTATGTAAAGTATTAATAAAACCTACAAAAAACTGAATCAGAATTAAAATCTGTTTTAAAATGTAGGTCCTCAGTGTTTATTATTAATGTTCAAGTCATGTTGGTACTACAGCTTTTTTGTTCTGTATGTTATGGAACAACAGGAAACAAATATCTCCCAGAGATTAAAATACCTGGTTTGGATTTCTTTTATGTGACAGAAAAGTTGATTTTACTTCTGGGGACATTCTGAGAGGTATTCATGCAACTACTTGTATATCTGAAATATTCCACGTTAAGCTCCAGAAAGTAAATATAATGGATCTAAAAATAAAGCATGAGAAATGAGACTGTAGTAATCATATGTACCCAGACAAGGGTCAGTGCCAACATAACATCTTTGATTGCCTTTTATTATCTTTGAGTACAGTAAGAATCTTTACTTTCATATAAACCGTTGTGTATTATTTTGAGTGTGGGAAGTTAGCCCTTATACCAATATATTTTTTTTATTAGATTTTCCCAGTGGTAAAACAAATCCATTGTTTTTCCCTTCAATTATTTAACAGTTTTAGCTACTCGTTTCAAGGGGAAGGCGGTGTGTAATCTTAAATATTTTCTTTTTTGGTGAGGTTTTATGATATGGGGCTAATACACTTAAGACTATATTCTCAAAGATAAGGAGGCACTGAAGTACCCATGTATTAGTTAATGCCTGAGCTGACTTGAAGTTTCCTGTTTGAGATGTTTAGGTGAATGGATACATGCCCGTAATAAGTTATCATGCTTTGGAACTGTGGGTGTATCTGTTTACTAATATATCTAATCTAAGCATAAAGGTATGTTGGTTTTCTCCCCAGCTCTTTTGGTATCTAATTTTACCTTCATTTTAAATTTGTAGTTCTTCAGATATTTGAAAACAAGATGATTCTGTGTTAAAACGTAACATTCAATAGATGTTAAAATGATTTTCTTTTTCTGATAAGGGTTGATTAGACTGTATAGAGGTCACTCCAAATCCCTGCTTTTCGAAAGGGCCATTATTAAATGAAAAGTCACGCAGTCTACTATATTGCACAGAATTCTAGCTATGCCATAAGGATTTAATAACCCTCCTGTTCATTGTTCTCCTTTGACCTAGACTGCATGGAAATGAAATCAGCAGAGAGAGAACGGATTTAGGCCGCTTTGAAATATGCATTGTTTGAAACGGTCTCCGGTGACCAGGCATCATGAATGGCTGATTGACTTTTGGGCCATGTCATCTGGTCTAATTATTCCAGTCTCCTTTGTATGACAAGTGCTGCTCTTGTGTGCTAAAACAGATCAGAAACAAAATAGAACTGAATGGCAAAAATCATTTTAATCATACAAGATGATTTGAAATGCATTTGCATGACGATTTTTAGTAGCCTTTGCACAAATGTCTATACACAAAGGACGAAATGATAAAAAAGTCATTTTGCAAATATGTTCAGAATATGACAGCAAGAATCCTATCAGGGATGCATTACACCTGTTTTCAAGTCCTTGCACTGGTTACCTATCAGGTTTCGAGTCA